TCAATACTTGCAAGTGTTCAATACAGTAGTAGTACACTTGCAAGTGTTAAACTCTGTATTTGTGCACTTGTAAGTGTTCAACTCTCCTGTTGTACACTTCACTAGATCGGGCGCTTACTGTGAAGTAAGTGTTCAACAAAAGAGTTGCACACTTACAAGTGCACAAATACCGAGTTGAACACTTGCAAGTGTACAACTTAATTGAACACTTGCAAGTATTGAACTTGCGGTTGTACACTTACAAGTGTTGATCAGTTGAACACTTGGTTTATCAGTGTACACAGCTGAAAAATCAACATACAAATCCACATTGGTTTCCGAAGATTTTCCACGTGGATTTCTACAATAAGATTCCCACGTGGTATATTTTCCTTGAGGTAATTGGTAACTTTCCATGTGGGTTGGTTATTTTCTAAAATTCCACGTGGAGTTTTTGAGAACCACGTGGTTACCCACACCCATGTAGAGATCCAAAGACAAGAAGAGCCCTGAGACACAAGTCTGTCGTGAGACATGAATTAAAGCAACTTCCCCAAGTGTAATTTGGCTAAAACCGCCGAATATGGACTCGGATTTACAATACGACGGCCATTAGTTTAGAAGATATCAGCACAATTTAAAATAACAACTCTTGTTTCTATCGCATAGCCGTGTACTAAGCAATCTTTCCTATGAGTGTAGTCAATATATTTGTAAGCCACCCCAATTTAAAGTTACGGTTGGCTATAGAAAACCAACGTGTGTAAAACAAAACCCCATGTGGAAATAAAAGAAAAACACGTGGTGTTGTATAGAAACCCCACGGGGTAGAGACAAAACCCAAGTGGAATATAGAAACTACACGTGGAAAATTACGGAATCCACATGGAGATTCGGTTATCTACTTGGGAAAGTACAACGTGGAAGTTTACTGAACCCACATGGCTGAGGATTTACACGTGGAAAGAGTCAAAACCCACAGCAATACACATGGAAACGCGTGGAAATATGAAAACTCCGGGTGGAACCACGGGAATTTGTTTTTTTTTTTTTCAGCTGGGTAATATTTCGAGCTGCAAGCCACGGACACCACAAGCAGAGCTGCAGGCTGCACTCAAAAACGTCAACAAAAGGTTACCGCATAAACTACAGAGAAAACTGTAGGATCCTAGCTTTTGAGGCAATACTTTTCTATAAAAACAAAGAAATTTCGATTTGAATTACAATGCTTCCATTTTAATACAAAGCAATCCTTTGTAGACTTTTCCTAGTGGCATGGGGAGCTCGCGGGGGGTCCCGGGACTTGCGGGGGCTAGGGAAGGGGCGGCCGCATGCGGGTGGGATGGGGCGTGGTGGGTTGGGCTGGGCTCAGAGCACCCCTTGTTCATTACTGATGTTGTAGTAATTAGCCCCACAAAGTATTAGCGATGCACAGTTTGGCGCTGGGCCCATCCCCCCCTACCCAAGGGGCTACGGCATAACGGGGGCAGATCGGGTAGGCAAACCCGCAACACTGGGGAGTATATTGCATTTGCGGAAGGTACAGTAATTCGAAGGGGAAAAATCTGAATGATGCTACTTTCAAATCAAAACGTACGTGGTCGAAATGCGTCTTACTCAGTATAGTGGTGCGCAGCGGCGCAGCGCACCCAGAAAAGTATTTTTTTGGCATAAAGATATTTATTTAGCTGAACGATAATTTCATAGCAGGAGTCAGAGAAACGTTTTTCGTTGAGATGTCGAGAATTTGTATTCAATTTCGATCCAAAGAATTTTATGTTAAATTAAAGAAGAAGTTTGTAAAATTGAAAACAAATGAAATTTCATTAGTTTCGGCAACGTCAAAATTACGTTGTTAGAAAGATATGGTTTTGGGGTGCAGGGCAGGGCCCGAGGGTCACGTCACCCACCGAACGGCAACCACCACTCGCGGACGCTTCCTCGGGCGCCTCTTTGGGCGTGCTGTCTTCCTGCTGGTATGTTTGAAAAGCTCACGTAACGTTTTCGCTCCCATTTAAGGTTTGAAGT